AAAAAAAAAAAAAAAAAAAAACATCGCGCGTTCGATTTTCGGACGGCGGGTGACGCGCGAACGCGCAAATCGCACCCGGCGGGATGGGGGGGGGGAGGCTCTGCGAACGAGTCGCCGCCCGAACGCGGAATCGCGTCCTCCGGTATTTTCGCGGGTCACGTCCGTTGGATATTCCGTAGGTTCCGTATAAACGTCCCGCGTAACGTTTCACTCGGGTCCCGTTCGCCCTACCCTCGCGCCGGCACCGCTCGGACCGGCGAGTTCCGATCGGCCCGCGAAACTGCCCCGAGTCCCCGCCAAACAGGTTAAGCCCGCCGCGCGATATTGCCGGGAAATCGGTGCGCGTTTCCCCAGAGTCGGTTCGCGTAACTCGGGAACACGCGTTGGCGTTCGCCTTGGATCGGGAGACGACGTGAACCGTATGCGCGGTATAGGCAGCAGTGACCCCTTACCGACGTTCGGTTATACTTGAAAACGAAAACGAAAACGGTACGACAGCACTAGGCGACTACGGGTTAAAGACGCACGGGCGGTGCTCGGAATCGGAAACCAACAAAACAAGAAGTCACAACTACATTAGCCTCCCCCCATCCACCCCCTCCCTCCATCTGGAATTTTGTTAAAAAATTTGCTCCCGAAAATTGTTATTCTACTTGCACGCATTCGCGTTCGCGAATTCCGAATTTGTACACCTCTAAAAACCGTTGAAAACCGATGTGGAGCGCTGGCGTGTACATTAGCACCGCCGCAGTAAACATCGATTTTCACGGGTACTGAGTGGTGTACTGATTCAGGATTCGCGATTACAAAATGCGTACAAATAGAATAACTCCAATTGTCGGCGCAAGTTTACGGCAAGAAATTCCGAGTCGGGGGTGCTAGTGTAACTGACCTCGGGAAACAAAAAAAATGATTCCAAGAAAAAATTAGCGTCTCTTGCAGTCATTGAACCGAAATCACGTGGAGAATTATTGTTAGATTCGTGCGCGGCTGTCTCGGCTATAACGACAAACGCGTATAATGTACATACGACTCTTATTAAGGTACGGCGGGCTGATCGATGTGATCTGCAAGTGGTACGTTCTAGAAACAGAAATTAATATATGTGTACACGCGGGGTAATTCTGTTTTCGTTAAACACTCGTTGTTTAGCGAGGTATATTGATTATTTTCACAAAAAAAAAAAAAAAAAAATTGTTGACAATGTACGGAAAGGGCGGATCTAAAATTTGCACGGCCATTCATTTGGTCGTCCTTATTTTTGGGGGCTATGCGACCAACTGCAGTTTTTGATTTTCAAATAGCGACCTACATTAAAAATTCCATAAATAGATTTCCGTCAACGAGATATTCCCGTTCACGAGACATTCCATTTTTGAATGCGGGCACATAGTAGTGGAACGCTATTCAAACGGCCGCGTGCCGTGCCGCCGCACGAATGATACTCTGCTACTTTCACTCCTGCATGTCTAAACTTAAAAATGGACTGTTTAACCGGTCAATACTTTGCGAAATAATTATTAGATTTCAACGATGAAAGAACCACCCTGTGCGTATTACATACGAAAAAATATCAAAGTAGAAACAAAATTATCAAAATGATTAATACTCGTATAAATAAAATGTATAAACAGAAAAATGTGTGTATAAAAATAAAAAAAAAAAATGAATGCTTCGCCTGAAGATGATAATTGTATTATACGACCGGTTTCGAATTGAAAATTCATCATCAGGCATATCACAGTCAAAATGTAAAACGCGACGCGTTCATTCTTTTATTTATTATTTTTATACATACATTTTTTATTTATATATTTATTTACTATATGTATTACATATGTTACGGTTAATGTCGTTATATTGTATTTATTATTTTTGTGAATAAAAACCAATTTTACACTGTCGGTGTTAATACCAGAGTGTATTATCAAACCTGTTATCAATCTCATTAACCGTTTTTGTACGTTAGTTTTTTTTTTTTTTTGTAGGTTAGAAAGGAATACGTGAACAGACGAGCGATGATGGAGAGTCGTAGAGAACCGATAATATAAGAGTATTTAGACACTCGAGTGCTTTCGAAACGAAAAAATCAAACGGGAACAGGAAAAACGATTATAATATCGGTTACGACACAGTGTGCAGTGAACGGTTTCCGGTATCGACTCGGATTGCCGACACCCGCGAGCATAAAACTCTTTGGTCGGCCATCGGGACGCGGAGGAATACACAGAAGTATGAAGGAACACGGGCGAAGGAAACCTTTATAATATGTACAATTTGTTTTGTCTCTTTTTTTTTCTTTTTTTTTTCCCCTTCCCCCGATTTCCCCCCGAACACTGTACGCCAACGTGTCGAACGCGCGCGTGCTGCGGAACAGTTAAGTTTGGTCGGGTCGCAAAAAACCCGAGACGCTTTATACGATAAAACACGTGTCCGCTACCATATGCAATTATTGCAGTGTACATTATCGGTGCATGCGATATTTCATTATTATTCGTTACGCGTATATACGTTCGCGAGCCGTTATAATCGCGTTCACTTTGTCCGCCACGGTATCCGAGACCCTGCACCGGGGTGGTCTCCCGGCGCCGCCCTTTCGAACGTAATAATAATGTTTCGCGTAAAGGCACTTGTTTTTAATTGGCTAAACGGAAATCAAAAAAAAAAAAAAAGCCTGAAAATTGATTAAACGGACGCGAGTACCTATAATGAAAAAAAAGCAAAAAACGCATAATTTAAAAAAAAACCGAAATCAATATTATAATATGATATACTGCGGCAATAATATTATAAAACTTTGATGCGCCCCGCGCGTCGCTACGCGGAGGCGGCCGCGGCGGTGCTGCACCACGCGCAAGTGAATATAACGATGACGCACAAAAGAAAGAAAACCGCGTATATAATATCGAAAAATATACATTGTTAACAGTAAAATAAAAAAAAATAAAAAAAAAAAACAAAAATACATAATAATATATATATATATGTGCTTGTAATAAGTTTTTATAATAACGTGTATGTATATAATTAACGTAGTGTGTACAATAATATATTCATCGTGCACGGTACATTGTTAGAACGTTCGACAAACACACACACACACGCGCGCGCGTATATATATATATAATTTGTTTTTTATTAAAGAACCCTCTCAGTCGACATCGTAATAACAATAATAAACGCTGTCAATAGAAAATATTTTTATTTATTTTTTATTTTTTTTTTTTTGTATGAAAACGAATTCGTATATTTCGATAAAGGATCGGAAAACGAACGGAGACCGAATAATGACGCGCGTATCGACGACGAACGGGGACCGGATCGGCGTGCCGATAACACGACGGGAAAATGTACGCGACCGAAGCAAAATGCCACGGCGGAAATCAATCGTTTTCGACGGACGTCCGTGTCTTGACGTGTTTTCACGCGCGGGGACACGGACGGGCGGACGGCGGGAATCATTCGCTGCGACCCGCGAATCCCGTCCGGCGAAAACTCAAAATCACGCGCGGACAGTTTCGTACGGAGCAGCGGTGACCGACCTTTTTTCCGTAGAAAAATAGGTCGTAGGAAAAACAAAACAACAATAATTCTCGACGGACCGAGAATTTAAACTCTTTTACTTTCGAGTCAACAGTGCATACGGTGACATATTCAATTATTCACGACGCATTGATTCGTTCGTTATAAACGGGAGAAAAAACGCGTGCAGTAATAAACACGGTATGTCTATTTTTAATGTGAATTTTGGTTTTTTTTTTTTGAAATTCGGGGTTATTTTCTATTTTCAAATTTCGATTTAATCAACACTTTGGCGGGCCGCGATTAACACGCGATCCGCGGGCCGTAGTCGGTCACCGCCGGTACGGAACGTACAGTACGAACAGTTGCAGTATCGATTTGTAATTCGACACGTTCGGGCGCGATATTTTCGTACGACAACACCCCGTCATGTATGGATATTAAATTTCGACGCATTATGGATTAGTGCCAGATTCCGTTATCACTGTTATCGTTTCGTCGGTATCGGAATACGCAATCGCGGTGTGTACGATATCGGTAATATTATAGAATATTGTAATATAATAATTTGTTGTTATCTATTCGCTCATTGAATGAGTGCATTTGCTGTAAAAACGAGCAATAACGTGTGATGATAATAAAATACAAAAAGATAATAAGTAGGTAAACAAGTAACGGATTCGTGTTGAACGTGTTGTCTTCGAGTATCAAGAAAATATAAAACGACTGCAGGGAATTTATTAAGTTAAAATATTCTAACGGATTTAGTTTATAAATACGATTTATTAACACCGCAAAAAATGATAAATAAAACATAATTTTTTTATTATGCGTAATACGTACGATTCCGTTTAAATGTGCAATCGTTTCGCGCGTAGTAGATTTAATTGAATAACTTACGGGGCCATCCGAGGAGAACCATTGAAACCCCTCTGTCGTTTTACGCTTTTTTTTTTTTTTGTAAATGTTTTCAAGCGCTCCGGCCCGGCGGTATTTCGGCGTTCCGCGGATTCGTTGTCGACGAATATACGAAAATCCGGTCTCCAATAAATCGCCATCGGGTCGCGCCGCGGCCCCCGGAATTAAAACCGCGCCCGCCCGCTGTGCCGTGTACGGTTATCGGTTGGCCGGTCCGCGCGATCCGTAAGTAACCGTGCGCGGCCGGTAACGCGGTGTTACGCCGTTACGGCGCCGGGCCCGCCGCGAAGTGGCATCGGCACGATTTGTGTTCGTTTACGGCGCGCGTCCCCGAGGTCCGAGGTTCCGGCGAGCGCGCAACAAGGGGCCGGCACCGTGCTGCGCGCCGCGGCCCGTCGGGTAGCCCGCGGCACGCGCGGATGCCGCCGTCGCGGTTGAAGGGCCGCGGCCGTTCCGATACCCGACACCGCGCGCCTACGTTCGGTTACGGCGGTTTCAACGGCGACGTTCGCGATAGGGCCGCGCGGTCGCGAGCTCGTGTCGAACGTATTCCCGCGCGAAACCGAACGGCTATCGTTTACGAGCGAACAACTATCGCGTGGGGGTTTGTTTGTTTGGTTTTTTTTCTTTTTTTTTTCAAAACGCCAGGCGGGTCGGTTCGGATTCGGAATGCCGGGGAGCACGGGCGCGAACCCTACGTGATTCATTCGTATCCTTTTCGTGTTTATGCGATAACGCGGTGGATTTATTGCGCGGTCCCGCGTTACTGTGCTCGCCGCGCCGCGCGACACCGCGGACAATTGCCTGCGCGTAATTCGGAACGCGCCGCGTACCTATTGTACAACATTACAACGCGAGAGATACTGTCGGATCCGCGTCCTTATCGTTTCCGCACTGGCTGACGGTGTAGGTAGCGGTGCCCGCGGTTTCGCCACGGTCTACTGCTGGCGTTTTGAACAAACAAAAAAATTAACCATTGTGTGCGGCCGACAACAGTGTGTGCATATCGTTTGTAACATTATCTTATAATTATCATTTTTTTTTTTATTACCTCGATTACCCATATTATTATTGTTGTTTAATTTACACGGCGGCGGCGTTGGTTTATCACAACGCATTATCTATGTTTACTAATTTTGAAATATTTGCGAAATATAACGTTATTATTATTATTATTATTTTTTTTTTATACCGTTTATCTGTGTACACGATAACGAAATATCGAATAATAATAGTACAATATTGTACATAATTTAAAGGACGAGCGTTGTAATGGTGTATCCGTATCTCGGTGAAATGTTGACTTTGTCAGTACAATATACGTGCTCACAATTTAACATTGACAATAGGGTCAGAAAAATCGCAAACTCGTTTGACTTTGCGCACATCCTCGCGAAAATTGAGAACACGTTAGTTACTGCCATATGATCGAGAAAATAATCACAGTAATTATGTTTCTATATCTACTTGGTTTGTTACGGTATGTTTAGGTAATAAAACATATGCGTATCTATGAAACTTAGAAAAAAAAAAATAAGTTGATACCGCTAGGTCAGTTTATATTGTACTGCAGTACGCAACGATAATAAACCATTGAGAACGATCAAAACGATTCTGAACAGAGTACTCGTGTTTATCCGTTGTTGCCAAAGCTATCCGGAAAATCGACAAAAATCGAATAACAAAAAAAATAAACCCCCCGGGAGGGAGAGGTAAACCGCGGAAAATTTTAATAAACGTTTCGAATAATCTACGTATAGAAAATCACGTGTTTAAAGGTATGCCGTGAAAGAGTCATAGCATTTTTACTAACCGTAGAGTGTTTTTCGAGAAGAAAAAACCCACACGTCTTTGCGGAACACATAATAGCTTATTTTCTTCGGGATCTAAAACATTGAAATTTATGGTTTCGAATAATTGTCAATTATGACTTTTTTTTTTTTTTACCCCGATTGAAGTATTATAGGTATCTCATGCGTATTATTATAATAATCGATTGGGAATCGGACGCATGACGCGCGCTGATAGCATCGCGCGTACGTCTTTTATCGCGAGACAAGCCGATCCCGACCTACGTCAAGCACGCGGCATAGCCCTTTCAGTCAAACATTATAAATTACAATAATATTATCAATAAGCCATTGTCGATGCTCGCATACCGCGAATGTCTCACAAATACCTCCATCATTATTTCCGAACCCGTCAGATCGGCCACTCGTTGCAATAATTAATTACACGTATTTTAAACGTCCAGGTTACTGTGTTTGAAACGATCAAATTACTATAAAACTATAATATTTAAATACGTCTACGCCCGTAAGTACAATGTATAGACAAACCCGTTGATTGCGCTTTAAATACTGTAATATATTATTATTGATGAGTCTTTGTTGTTGCCGATTGCGGTTTCAAATTGAATCAGAATAACGAAAAAACCGAACGTTCGAAATAGCTATAACAATATACTATAATGATTATTTACGTCTCCGAGGACGCGCCTGATAGTCGATTATTATTTATAGGAACACCTATTTATTATAAAAAGTGTGATTTTCAAATATCCACCGTTCTACATCAAAGCATAATTATTTTAATACGATTATTTTTTATTCGGCGAGTTTATTAGACAATATTAACAATATTGATTTAATCCCATTATTTCCGACATGTTCGTATTATATACGCCAACCACATGCGACCTATGCGACTGCATTATATAAATATTATTGTAAAACACATAACGCTGAACGGTGGCTGTTGAAATCAAATATTTAAAACAGCGCAATCACAATTATTATTTACAGCGCAAGTACCGTGATAAATGATTGGATATTAAAATCCTGTACACGTGTCTATATATATTAATAATTAATAATAACGCAGGTTGATTATTAATACACAAAGTAAATACTAAATATATAAAGCGATTTTTATTTTATTGTTTTTATTTTTTATTTAAATCGATAAATATTTACGAGAATTATTTATTTAATGATATTACATAATATAAATACATATTTTTTTTCCTTCCAATTAATTGAAATAATTCTGCTGCAGTAACCACCTATGTATTTTAAATGTTAATACGATCGGTCATGTTGCTTATTGATATAAGGTCAAAGGACTAATGTATAATAATACATTTTGTTTTGCGTAACCGGAAAAAAGACATAGGTCGGCTTAGAAAGAAATTTGTTTCGTGTTACGACAAAGTCAAACCTTTAATATTGCGTATTGCGTATCTTTTCAATTACGCACTAATGATTAGTTCTTTTCTTTCGGAGACACCTTTAGGTTTTACTGCTTTTCGTGGGAAAGATGCTTTATTTTTAGGGCTCTTTGTGGCACAATAATCCTAAAAATACTGTTTACCAAAACAGTAATTGTAAAATATTAAAAAATATCTTTTTTTTTTTTTTTTTACTCGAGAATCGAAAATCAAATTAAATGTTTTTCTTTTTAGCAATTAATATTAATACATTGTACATTAATAAATATTGTTTTAAACCGTTAAAAATTAAAAGTTTAATTTAGAAAAATAGTTTTTTTTTTTTTTATAATTATGATCTTTAATTAAATCGAGTAGTTAATTGTATCCCACGAGGAAAATCTAAACCCATCAACATTAGGATGTTTATGTACATCCAACGATGAAACCACTTTCAGAGTTTCAGAGTTCCCGATTACTAGGTACCTCAAGTCATTTGACCTAATCCCAAAACTCGTGTCAAAGGGTCGAAAACTCAACCGGCTGGATGGACACAGCGCACAATTTATTGTATTGATTATTATTATATTTTTTTAAATAATTCATATTTTTTAGTTAAATATATTAGGAAAATTTTAAATGGAAAACACACGCGCATCTACTGTCTCAATCTTACTACCCAGCAACACGTAAAAACAACGATTACTCAAACTAAGCGAAACTAACTTAATTTTGATTTTAGGCGGAACGATCCGCCCGGCGATAAAACAACGACATAGCGAAAAGTTGTGTCAAGTGATATCGACTGCAGCGAGACTTCAATGACGCTTATTCGTTATTGTCAGATAGAACAAATTGTACACGTGCGCGGATACCGGCAAACACGATTGCTTGTACGACGATTTTGACGCGCTATATGTCGCGCTAAACGTGCACGCGATAATTTATTTTTTTTTTTAATTTAAAACTCGCGATTTAAACTGTATTCCATTTCGATTTCAATCAAGAATTATGACGTGTTGAGAGGTTTCTGAACTGTTCCAAACTTATATGGTATCACTTGAACGCTTTTTTCGCGTAGGGATCAAAATAAGGCATTTGAATATGTATTTATTTTTTTTTTATACTAGGTCACTTTTTGCACGACGGCGACGATATATCCATTAACCCATCTGCACATTATTATTTCAAGACCGGCATATTTATTATTTTATTTTTAATTCTAAACGTAGCGAGAAATGTGTTGATTTTATTACGAAGTTTGCGATTGTTTTTTTTAGTTTTGTTCCTGTAAACAACTTTTCTACCGGAAATCTTGCTCCGATCAAATAAATGAAAAGAGACATTTTAGTTGAATTTTAATTTTCGATATAGTTTTTTTAATAATTGGAAAAAATTGTTGAAAAACTTTGTAAAACAGGAAAGTTTACGGCAATAACAGTTTTATTATTGCCGAATATTTTTTTTTTTTTTTTTGTAAATCAGTTAATAATTACCATGAAAAACTGAATGTATTTTACAGAATACTAATAATGTCTTTTTCTAAACGTGATAAAATTTTTACAATATTCCGACAGTTTTTATAGGAGTTTATGTACTATAAATATAGGTATTTTTAGACAGACATTTCTAGTTTTATTTAAATTTTTAATTAGTATTATACGGATAAATATGTTTTGGGCCAGCAAAAAGTTTTATATTACTTTTAAAAGTGTTATTCAATGTAAATTGTACTCAGTGGTAAAAAATAAAAAAAGCTGAGAGTAATGTTACGGACAATCAAAAAAATCACTGAATTTCTGAACATATTTGACCGACCTTCGCTCAGAACCGTTTTTCGTTTACAATGGATGCGTACAGATAGGCAACATTGCATATAACCATTGAAAAATAATGCAAAATTAAAACATTGAAAGAGCCGATATAAAAAAAAAAAATTGTCTTATATATACCTTCAAGTCGGACTTGCTATACATACCAAAATAGGTACACAATGGATTTATTGAAACTGAATTTATGTGCACATTTTCATGTTAGGAATACGAGTCATATGCATCGAGTGAATATTATATATTAATTAATTTTAAGAAAGTTTGTTTGTTGTTAAAAATACTCTGTCTTCTTGTAAAGTCGTTATAAATTCATCTACGTCCATCAAGTGCTTCATGACTTGTTTTAATCCATCTTGTCATTCACAAGAAGAACAGCAAGGTAAGGTCGCAAAGACAAGTGTAAGGACGGCATTCATACAACAGTTCTTCGGGTTCGAATTTTTCAGAATGCAATAATGATACAGAAACAACCTTAATATTTACACGGAAACTTGTCTGTTGAGGCTATTTTTCCATCACTAAATTGTGTAAATTTCCCAATGGACCGCGGCACATCGGACAATAGTTGAATTGTAGTTGACGTCATGTATTGCATACTAAATATCCACTTTGGCGATGTAATATTGGTGGTAAAACATAGTCGAGACATTCAAATAATGATCTTAAATCTACTGATAAGCCAAAAGCATTTCTGCACTTAATTTCACCATCGACTGATGCTACAAAACTATCAGATCCGCTCATCCTTGTCTCTTGCTCAGTTACTAAATGGTTGTTAAAAACGATTTTGGAATTTTAATATTTAACTGCTGTAAAACTATTTGCAGTTTCATGTCGTAAATGTTATCGTGTTTTTTTTTTTATGTAGTAATTTATTTTGGTAGGCGATTACCATAGAAACGCAACTATCGCAATATTATTATTAAGTAACGTAAGCCACTTCATGATTTTTATTCGTATCCATATGATTTTCCAAGGTCCCCAAGGTCCAAAAGGTCTATTTGTTTAATGTTCATCATAAATAATAATTTAACTATATTATTTAAGTTATTCTTATGGTAGTATGGAAATATTGAAAATTTGTAGTTTTTGGATTTTTTTTATATAAACTGTATTACGTTCCGATTTAAGTGAATAACAATTTTACGGGTAAACCAAAAATGAGATAAGTTGAATGCAATATTTTTTTTATCTAAATTTATCTATTTAAAGTTCACACATATACCCGAACTACACTCAGAATCGTTTTTAACGTCTTCGTATAATATAAATGTATATCAATTAAAGATTAAATGGCGCATATAAAATATAAAATAATGTGGTTTCTTTTTTTCTTATCTTTCGATAAAAAAATATTCCTTCAATGGTGAAAAAACATTTAACAATATTGAAAATAATATTTCCACTACACAACATGATTCTTACTGTTATTATAATTTTAAATTTTAACTTGAACAAAAAACGATCAATATAATAACTGTGTATAGTAATAATATCGTGAAACTTTATCATAGTGATAAATCAATGAATTTCGAATTTTAATTAATATCGAGTTATATAGCCTCACTAATGTTAGTAAACGTAAAATATTGTACATATTTTAATGATTCGACTTCTAAAAAAGCTGTACAATAAATTTAATTAATAATAATAGTTATTGATATTTTTTTAGGTCGATATAATTACTGTGGTGTATTCGTGGTAAAAAGCAAATGAGTATCAATATTTTATTTTCTGACATTTCCTGACACTCTGCAACGGGGCTAAAACATAAATGAAAAATTTAATATTCTTTAATATTTATGAGTTAATTGTGTACATTCAATCAACATACTTTTCAATGTCTTTTTTTTAACGAATTTACTTTGCAGTTTTAAATAACTGTAGACACTTTAGATTTTGAGCGTAGCGTTGTACAAGTTTTACTGTGTTTTTTTTGCCTGCAAACAAGTTTTCTATCGAAAACTGACAAGAGACATTTTGTTTCTTACAGAATACTCATACGAGTCTTTTCTAGACGCAGTAATACATTAAAAACATTTTGATGATTTCGGAGCTATTTATAAGTATTTTTGTGTTTTATTTGGTAGGTACTATATGTAGAAAAAATTGGTTGACCATACAGAAATACTTGCAAATTTAACACGAGGTTCGCTCATTATAGTGCACGAGGTTGTACTTAGTAAATATGGTAAATTGTATATTATAATATTACGTAGATACCTACTATTTTGTTTTATTTGTTCATTAATCCTTATAATGTTATAACATAACGAGAGCGCGTGAAAACCTGGAATATACCTGTCAGACACGTATCTACATTCCCGGTTTCCACGGGTCAGATTCCGCTGCCCCGGGTTCCAGATTTTTATTTTCCAGATGTGTACGTTACAGATTTATATATTCCTGATATGTACATTTCGGAATTCCATAGTCTAGGTTCGGTTAGGTTGTTTATAATATGTATTGATTTAATTAAATTGATAATAATTTACGTAGCTATAAATTCATAAATACATCATAATTTTTACGCACTGGATCGTAAATTGTCGCATAAATACACACAAACAAAAGTATAGTGTCTGAGGGCCATATAATACTGATTATTTTTGTCGAATATTATCGGAAACAAATGTTTAGCAAAATAAAATTGTCGTTCGATTTTTCCGTATTTGCTATCATGCTAATCTGGCTCACAGTCGTTAAATCCATTTTATACGGTATGATAATATCATGATTGCGCGGAGGGGAGGGTGCTTGATTGTGCTATTTCAAATATATATATACGTATTATTGTTATTCTATTATATTGGTTTTACGAACATTTTAAAATTACCCCGTGTATTTATTATTATCTAGTTATTTTTTTTATTCACGTAGTTACATTAGAAAAAAAAAATTGTTCTCCGAAGAACCGGGTTCGCGGATCGCGTATTTAAAGTATAATAATCAAAGAGAGGTCTTTATTGTCGAGAGGGCGGATCGAGTGCAACAATTTTACGACTCAGAACGGAGCGGAAAGTCTATACGCGTATACGTTCACCACCGTAACTACTGCAGGAGAGGAAGAAGATACAATTTATAGGGGGCCTTCCTCTTATCTTGTCTTTATGTATACTTCGCGATTTTAATAGTCGACTTTACGGCCGCGGAACCATCATTACGTATATAATGTCATATACGTATACGCCTGGAAATCGAAAGAAAAAAAAAGCAATTTTAGTAGGCGAAATTGGCCTATAAAGTCAAAACGTGATATTCGTTTATATTATATCGGCTATTGCGCTGAACTGAGATTTGATCTTAAGAAAAAAAAAAAAAAAAATAAACCCTTATAATACTATACGTACACAACGCGAAACGAAAAAACCTAACCGTACGATTGATTACGATTTTTTTTTCTCTCGTAGATAATTAAATGGCCGAACTGTGAGACCGTTATATTATTCTAAATTGAAAATCGCGGTACATAATAATATACGGTATCTATTATACCCGAATGCTATAAAGCAAAAGCAAACGCACATTGTTATACCAATTTCTGAACGTTTATAATATTATCGATTGTTATTTGGTTCTCGGTTTTCCTGCGCGCGCAAATTTTAACTGAGCTTATAATATATTCTATACAAATATAATATACTCTTATACGACTAAACTCGCCGAACAAAAGATAATTGCATTAAAATTGTGCTCCGGACGATATTTAAAAATCCTACTATTTATAGGAAACGCGTGACTATCGATCGGTTTAAAGCCAACAAAACGTCGTGCTTGCCAATTATTTCACATCGCATCTTTGTATTGTGTGCAGAGGCGCACACGCGATAAATATAATAATAAAATGCATAACGTGCACGGACAGACCGTTCCGCCGTCGTCGGTATAATTACCGCGGGTTTTTCGTCCGTTTAGCCCGATTCGTTTTGCAACTGTACAATATCATAACATAATATAATTCATACAAATTGATAATTCGATCGATTCTGTTATCGTTCATACGCAGGTATGTTTCGCTTTCGTTAACCGATATCGCATATTGAAAGCAAGTTTTGTTTGGCCAAGTCATATTAGGTTTACATAGACAAAACGAAATACCTAACCCGACCCCACATAATTGTTACCTACTATCTTATAGGTATACGTATACAGCGGCGTGCGCGGTGGGGAGAAGGTTAGGGGTTATTCCTCCCCACCCCCTCCCAATTGGTTTAAAAATACAACAAAATATTAGTAATCTAATACCGAAACAGATATTATATTTTAGCCGAGTTACGAGGAACAGTCTGATGTATTGGTTAGAAATTGGCTTTTTTTTTTAGGATCCGGCTTTTAAATTACCAATTCCCATAGTCGGAGCCGGGTAGACAAGACGATTTTACGATTTATTCGCAATTCTCATTTACTACGTCCCCTTCCATTGAACATTTCTGGGCACGCCGTTTCAGTATAAAACGGTCTATAATATTAAACAGTTGGATCGCGTGCGTGGATGCATATGAGTGTTAAATCTAACGCGACGGATAGAACATTCGCTACCCGTGAGCCGCAGAGCTCCGTCGCTATACGGAATCGGATTTTCCCCCCCAGCACATTTTGGTGTCGGTACGCCAAAACAGCTACGGCCGCCAGAGTTTTTTTTTTATTAAATTCGTTTACGATTTCGTTTTGATTTTTTTAAATGAGTTTACGTCCCTACGCCCGTCTACACTGCCCCGTATCACGGTCCGTAACATGTACCGTTTCCCTCTTACAATAGGTATACAAAGTATCGCCAAGTTTATCCCTCGTCGTTTTGGCGTTATAATTGGTTTGTTAATATTTACGCCGCCTATTGTGATAAACGGCCGTTTTGTCCGACGAATAAATCGTCTGCAGGGCTCAGCGCTGGTGCCGTTTATAATGCCCGCGCGTCAGTATGCTCATACTATAATAACATAACGCAATTTTATTATTATGACGTCCGCGGGACGCAATAAACGCATAAATTCTAGAGTGCTCGCGGATCATCTCGCGGATATGTGCACATTGGTTACCAAAAATAACTTGGCCGACAAGTCGTAAAATTCTTTAAACGCCTAGCTATTTAAAATTTGTGTGCCAAGTTATTTTTCGCAATGGCGTTTCTACGGCGAGACCGGGGATTATAAGCCCGTGGTCTATAATATCACAATATTATTACTGTAATTCGCGTATACCTACGCGCGCCGCGGCGCAGAGCGGATTACTGCGCGATATCGTATAAATAAATCAAAAACATTATAACACAGGAATGTTAAACCGGTGTCGTTCGAAAGAAGCGTTAAAATTGTTACGTTTTATTGTGCACCTATGCGACACGCGTATACACGCGTACGTCAAACGACAATAATTAATATAAGTACAGGACTTAGGTGTGCACTGTATCTATATATATATATATGTGTGTGTGTGTACATAACGTTGTTAATACTACCACGGAGTTATATATAAAGACGAAACAAATAAATACGACCTACATTAACATCGTAATATTATAATAGAATATTTTACGTTAAAAAAAAAAAAAATAATAAGTTATATTTAAAACGTTACAGTTCCGACGATAATAAAGCGGCGTCTTTAAGATTTTGAGCGCGTGGCGAGGAATGTTTCGGTTTTACTGTAATGTTTGTTGTTTTTTTTTTTTTTTTTTTTTCGAGCGTACCGAAGAATGTATCGGTGTTACTTTGATGTGTGCGAATTTCTTTTACCCGCCTGTTAACTGCATTTCTACCGAAAATCCCGCTCCAAACGTAAAACGGCGAGTGAATTTTTTCGTAGCGTTTCACATCTATTCGATGCGTTTAGGTGGTCATTTTTTCGATTTTCCAAGTTGTTTTCGCGACAGTCGAGAAAACCGGCACTAACGGTCTCATTATTTTCAAATTCGTTTGTTTGTTGTCAATTCGGTAAAAACAATTATAATGATCTGACATTTTTACCAAATCCTCACATCAGTCTAGGGTTGAGTTTTCAAACAATTTTAATGATTCGTAGTTTTATTTTTTAATACGTGTATAATTAGTCCTGTAGAACGAAAATTCGCTCTATTTACCCGCGGGTAAATGATTTATCGTTGCTTACAGATAAACATTAAATTACCTTCTGTATCCTGCCATCCATACTTCCCACCTACAACAGTGGCTACACCCGCGTGCGAAGTATGTCCGTCTTTTTTTTCTTTTTCTTTTTTTCACATCTACCCAAATTTCACAGTCTTTCATATTTACAATTACCTATACCTATCCGTTATACGTCTTAAATTATTATATTTTATCGATATAAAATACACACTTATCGTAATATTATAACTATACGGTATTGTAATGTTATGCTCATACAACATAATATTTATTTTTATAAAATGTATTATTTATATTACTAAAACAGTGTGTAACGAAAAGATTCAAATACGGCCTTAGAGTACTTGGTATTTTCTACTTAAAAAATGTAAACAATTTAATAAACGTAACGGAGCATTTGCTGTTCGAGAAGGATACATATTATATTCTTTACAAATAAAATATTTTAAGATTGGTCAAACATAGTAGAAATTTATGACATCCGATTCAGCCCTCCGAGGACACTGTCGCACCGTCGCCACAGTCATGCTATGAATATTCTTATAATTCCTATACAACACCTCAATAAATATAATTGTATTATTAGTTACCTTCTATCGACACCGACGCGAAGGCCACCAGGGCCCTTTTGAGCTTATAAATAATAACGGATTTTTCGTTGTTCGAGAAGGATCCATGTCCCATTTATTACTTTTCATTAGATATATTTCAGTACGAATTAAAATAATTGTGTTACCGCAATTAAAGAGAGGATTTTATAACTAATACAGACCTATACCTATTTTGGGTTACTACATAGACCCCTAACCATTTTCACGTTTATAATATCTATGATTTTTTTTATTTTTTGTATTACTACAGTATATAGAGTTAGATGAGTTTCATTTCCGCGGCGTGTAAAGATATAGTTTTTTAATGATTTTAACCTACTATGTCGCATACTATACCATACTATATTGTACTTCCATCATATAGAAATAATATTATCGCATTGCGTATTTTCAACTCGACTACTTTGTAACCCGGTAAGGCGGTAACTATATTATAATGTATATTATAGGTATCGATAATCGCGTATAGCGTTACTTGTAATAGGATCGGTAAGTTACTACTTGTTTGGAAGTCATCATCGCCTTATTATAGGCTTAAATATTACAGAGGTTTATTCATAACAATATGATAGCGTCTAAATATTATATTCGCCATAGAAAATGAAGTTCGTGTTAATTTTGTCTAAGTACTTATATTGTATATTTTTTTTTTCCGTCCTTTTTTTGTCTTCTTCGGTGTTCACCGTTTAATACCCATATAATGAAATACGTAATTCATTAATATATTCTTCACGCCACTCATCATATAATTATGATTTAATCGTTATGATCGTTTGTTAAAAAATTATATCATATTTGAACAAAATCTAACGTTACGATAATGTTTGTGGATTTATGATTTTTTTTTTTTTTTTTCTGAATTTGAGAACATCGTACAAGTATATCAAAATACTCAAACTTTTTGAATAATAATCAAAGGTAAAAAAAATACGTAAAGTGTATTTATAACAAAAATATATCGTTTTTTTTTTCACACTTTAAATTATTATCGAAAATTGAAATTACATACTAGTAATAATGATAATATGTACCTATATTGTAATATGTATATAGCTATATAATATAGTATTACAGATTATATCGACTGCGGGTGAATTTAACTAACGTAAACATATCAGTTGGAAATACATCAAGTATCATTGATAACAATAATTTTAGTATATTACTACATTAATAAAAAGTACCTATATAAAAACATAGTCCCACACAAGTTTTGTGTATATATATATATATATATATATATTGCATTGTTTATATAAATACTTCTATTGATTTATATTTACAAAGATTCTTTTATCGTTTAAATAAATAAAAAAAATGCCTTTAGGCAATTTAGAGAAAAAAAAAATATATACAAAAACATATACTAAAAAATGGCAGTACGAACATGGAAATAAATACCGAAATCACGGGCATTTGTTTGTCTATACCTATATAGAGTTCGACTATTCCTAATATGATTCAAGTAATAACAAATGAAAAATTCTAGCAAACTTCACCGCGTTATATAGATTATAATAAAATATGTATAGTGCATAGAATATATATATCTATGGCTTGATGCAAAAAGGGCCATTATCAATTTTTTTGAAAAAAATATGGTAGAAAAGAAAAGTGAACAAGTTTTTATTTTTATTTTTTTGTATTTGAAATTGAAAAGACACAGCTACAGATACGTATACGACAAATTTAACAGTCATTCAAAACAAATTTAAAAAAAAATAAATTTTACACGGAAAAGAAACGTCACAACTATGAAATATAAAATCAATATAATATAAAGTCTTTGATCTGAATAGTTACTAACAGTACTATTAGTACTATACATAATTGCGACTGTTAGATGTCTACATTATTATATTATTCTCATAATTTATTTAAATATACATTAATACTAATCAATATTAAAAAAAATAGAAGTAACTACCTTGAAGAAATTTAAAAATTACCTATCAACTGTTTAAAAGTCACGGTTTTTAATTTGTGTAGGTTTCTATGATATAAACATAATATAAGTTACCGATACTGGTTACCGAATTCGTTCAAAATTTTGATTATATATATATATATATGAAATTATAAGTAGTTTATTGTTTAAAATACGTTAGGGAACCGGAAACTCAGCACGCTCGTAGCAAAGTTATTTCCTCGTTTGTTTGTGTGGGTAATATAGAAACATATTTCAGACAGAAATGATAGTGTTTCAAAATCTGTGAAATACAATATATTATAGACTATTGGTTAATAAATCAGAAATAAAGTAGGGTCGATTATTGTATCATAAATGTTTGATTACTATTTGATTTCAGAATCGCCCGATTACAATATATCATTATTAATTCAATTTAGTATTTCTTTTAAGTTCATCGTATATAAAATCAAATTATATCGGTAGAATATTATGATATTATATTATAATTTTTTTTTTCCATAGGTATTCTAATTAAAAATTAATTTAATACCCAGAGTGTAACTGCGAGATTTGATAATTTCCCGTGTAATTACATGGAAAATTGTCAAATACTGCAGTCACACTCTGTATAAATATAATATAAACCACGCAATTCAAAATAAATATAAAATTAAAAATAAAGCATATTATAAACTAGGGTTTCTTTAGCTCGGTTATTTCGAATTTAATAACCCGCTTAGCAGTAAAAAATATACACGCGTATCCCTCATTGGTTCGATCTCAATAAGAAAGTGTCTCGCTCTAATAATAATAGAGTTGGAAGCATCTCTACGATATTCATTCATTCGTTTTATATAGTTTAAATGCGGAATAAAAAGGCAGCCGGGTACTAGTTATGACAAGACTCAAGGTTTTTTTAAACATGAGTTCCATAAAAAAAACCGAAGAAATAACGTTATTTTAAGTTTTTTTTTTTTTTGATTTATTAGAAATAGTAACAACACTTTAGAGATACTAATATATATTATTATTTTTTACAATACATTTTATCAAATTATTCAATTAGTTCGCCGGCTAATATGTTATCATCGGTTGGTAACTATTATGCTAATCTAGATATATGTTCTTGTAAAATTAAACTAAACTTAATTCTATACTACATCAATTTTAGATTTCAGCGAGCTTACATTTCTGCTAGCTTATGATTTGTATTGTGAACGACTTTTCTACCGGATATCTTACTCGGATCGAAAAACCAAAGTCGAGCTTTTTGTAGCGTTATAAAAAAACTCGTTGACATATCAAGATGGTCATTTTTTATTTATCAAGCAGTTGTCGAAATACAGTGAAGTCTCCTTATTATAACGGAATCACACGGTATCAACTGATTTTGCCGTTATAAAAGAGTTTCCGTTAAGGGGAGATTAAAATGTACGGAATTTGGGTCATGCAGAACTGTTGTTGCAGTTGTCCGTTTTAAGGAAATTTCCGTCTTTTCGGGGGAGGGGGGGAGGGACGTTATAAGGAAATTCTATACTGCAATTGAGTAAACCCCGGACAAAACACACAAAGAAAAAAACAATGTAAGGCAATGAAATTGTCATTATTTTTCCATTTTGTTTTTCTCATACCGGAAATCTTGCCCCGAATCTCGAGTGTAGCGTCCTTTCTGAAAACAATAATTATTATTTTCAATTTTATACTCCTGCGTGCATATCATATGTACACATACGACACGAGTACGTATAACGTAGACTGAATTTCGCTCGGTTTCACGTGCATACATATATACACGCGTAAAACGTTTATAGTTCTCCGAATGCAATTATTTCTGCATTGCAATTCGCTTTTAAATTATAACAGAATACTTAATTATGCCGAGGGAAACGAGCGCCTAATAGGTATACCTATATACATTATAGTATAATATACTTATGTATGTGCACATTCAGTCACAATATTATTGACCTGTCCGTATTTTATTACAATATTCCGAACGTGCAGCGCGAGAGTGAACTGTATCTCCCCAGTGGTGGTATGCTTTTACTATTTTTTTTTTTTCTTTTTCTTTTAAATGTAATATTTACTACGCGTATGACGGGTTTTACGGTTCTGTATTATAGAAATTTACTTATTGAAAAAAAGGCATCAAACGTTTAAATTGAAATATTCTGAACTCCGTCACTTTATACGCACTTTAATAATCGGGTTTCAAAAAAAAAAAAAAAAAAAACGAATCGTGTTCATGTTGTAAATAATAACTATCGCATTTTCACAAAACTATTATAGCATTATCGTGTTTGTCTTACACGCGCGCAACACGGTAATTTAGACGCGTTTTCATCCCGACATACCGGTTAATCGTGCGTAGCGACAAGAATTCTGGAAACGGATTTGAACTTCTCGTCAAATCCGTTTAAGTTTTTCAAAAATAAAAATGTTCCGTGTTTATAATTACTACTTCGGAGGGATGAAATAAAAAAAAAAAAAAAATGTGAGAATGCCGACCGCAAGTAGACTTGACGAAAAATTCAAATCTGTTTCTAGAATTCCAATCGCTTCGCTGGATCGATCGATGCGCGCGAGTGAAAACTATTCCTGTGTTTAGCGTGCGATAGACAAAGACGGAAAATTGTCGTTTCCAAAACGACCAAAGACGATCTAAACGAGTAAACGTCGTATATTATAAACGTTTTTTTTTTTTAAATTTTTTTTGTTTTCAACTCTGTATATATTCATTATTCGGGTTTCAGTTCGATTTCCCCAACCAACGTAATTAGGCGCACGAAAATCGTACACTATGTAGGCGCATAATATAATTACACGGAAAGTATACGGTTTACGTTAATCGCACATACATAATAAACTATGTACAGCGACCCAATATGATCGGTCGCATTTAAAAATACCATAATAATAATTGCGCTTGAAATATAATAATACGCACCTATTGTGAATCGGACACGAACAATTATAATATGGCCCGTCAGCGGTGCCGTTTGAACGCGAAACGATGTTAATAACCCTAAAACGAAAAACCACGGCTAAATGTTATAGTACAGGCGTTAATCGCGGTATTGTGTACAACGTTAATTCGGATTTTTTTGATTTTTTTTTTTTTTTTTCTATCGATTGTTATAACGGAGAAACAATAATATATTTATAATTATACGTTTATGCGTCGCGGATGTGTAAGACTCGAAAACCGGCGGTTACGTGCGGTTTTGACGGTTTTTTAGGCGTTCCCCCCCTCCCCGCCCGCCCCCGACACCCCTTTCTTCGCCTATCCGCGACTATTATTATCATTAGGTGTAACAATCGCGGTCGTTCGGGCGATATCTGTTACCATTGCGTACGCGCGCGATCTGCCGTCAACGGTCGCGTTCACTTAATTGCCCCGATCGGACGTTACGCACGTTGCACCGTAGTTGCCGTTGTACGACGTCCGACGGGTGAAATTCACGATCACGACGCCGCGTTGTCGATACGCGAAAATCACGCTCGAGTTACGCGTTGCATAACGCAACAATACCGTAAGTGTAGCGCATAATACGCGCGCGCGCGCGCGCGTATAACTCCGCACCGCCACTCGGAGTCATACGCCGGGGCCCGGTATACTTATTAGTAAACCAGAGCCGCGCGATTATAAATGCGGGTTTTCAATTCGGCGGCTGTGCATTTCGTACCCGCGCGTGTACGTTTTTTTACGCGGCAATATAGCGTGTCCGACGCGTACTGCGGGCTTACAATACACAGCATACACAGCGGATCGGTCTATCGAGAGATGCTCGTTATCACGGAGAGCGTTGACATTTTTTCGGAGCCCGTCTGTGTGAAACGCTCAAGAAACGAGCGGGCCCTATAATTTCGCGTTTGCGTTATTTTTTTTGTCGCCCTTGTTTTCGGCCGCGAATTTCCCGCACCGCCCACTTTTGATAGAAAACCTGTATCGGAAATTCCATAAACAGCTGACGGAGTATCAGTTAAAACGAATTTCGGTGTTGAAATTTTCGATTACGTTGACGAGACATTCCGCTTTTAAGCTTGGGTCGGGGGAGAGTGTGTAGCGGCACATTATTAAAACGCCGCGCACCGTGCCACCACACAAATGATGGTCCAATAAAGCGAAACAATATGTCGTGTTATTCAGCGCAAACACCCGGTCAAAACATCGCGGGTAAAAAAATTATCTCCCTCCGGTATACCGAAAAACTCTGGTAATAAATAATCTTATTTGTGGTCCGGGATATCTTCTTTTTTTTTTTTCGTTCCTAAGATTATTACAATCTTCTTCAAAACGGGAAATGTTTTCCGGGAAAAATATCCAATAACCGATTAGTACAAGAGTTTTTTTCTACATGGATAATTTAAAAAAAAAAAAAAATGTAAATCGAAGCTGCGCACTATAAATAATTATAATGGCTATACACTTGTTCGTTATTAAGACAATCATTTCGTTGTTTTTCTTTCTTTTTATGGAAAATCCATTAAGAACGTAAACAAAAAAAAAAAACAAAAAAAAAAACACTGAAACGTCGGTACAAATAGTCACTTCTGTATACATACATTAAAGTCGGCCTAACGTAATTGTTAGCAGCAGATTCAATTATAAAACTGTGATTATATTGTAATTCTCTTATTCCGAATGTTGGGAAAAAAAATAGGCGGGTACGTTCGTATATTTTCCCAGATAATAATTAATTAAATATAAATATATAGGACAATTATTTCAATAGAACGTAATTGTTTTTTTTTTCTTTCTAATAACATGATAATACTTACATTAATTACATTTTCTTTATTATTATTTTTTGGATACTGGGCGAAGTGAGAATGCGTATAGCGATTTTTTTTTTCTAAGATATATATAAGAACATTTTTTTTTTGTCTATACGTAAACAAGTTTCGACCAGAAATCATGCCCGATCATCAACATTAGAAATGGTTTCTGGTAGAGAATTGTATACAGTTGGTATAGAGGATATTTTCGCTATCAGTGTTTGTATAGACTTGTATGGTAAAAATATTTATATTATAAAATGTATAGTATTTTTTTGTTTTCATTACTTACAAAAACTATTAAACCTGTACATTTTAGTGCGATTTTTTTTTATTATAGAAGATTGTTTTTGTGTAACCTATTTATTCTAACTATTTAAAATGACATATTGGCAAAAAAGTTTGCAACTCGGTAAAAAAAATTATTATTTTCGTATAACATCGATTAAATATTGTATACATACAGCTATAAATCATAATTTAATTATACAAATTCTTCTTCGTCTAATCGTATCCAAACCGCAATGATGCTTTTTTTCCAACTACTATAATAATATCGTTGTATAATTTATTACATTAAACTATAGGTCTCTAATTGATTTTGGGCTTGAACTCTAGTTCATAATGTTATCATACTTTACCTGATAATCTATTATCTGCATAATAACTCATTGATTGATAACCATAATAATATGATATTATGTGAGGTTTGATCATTAATAGACTCACCTGTAAAAAATAAAAACAAAAAAATTATACTTAAACACGAAATTCTTTATTTTATTATTATATTAAAGACGTATTTTTTATTAATTATTTAAACTGACTGATTAAATTTACATAACTAAATAAAAAAACAATTTGATGCTATTCATAGGTGAACCACTGTTGTAGATATACCTAGTAGCGGAGGTATGATAGGTAGAATAATTAAGTTTATATTTCTGTATGCAACGATAAATCATTACAAACAAAAAATGATTCTAAGCAGAGTAGTATTTGTACTGGTTTTTCATTTGTTACCATGGGAACTCAAAGAATCAAAAAACATAAAAATGACCCAAACTGCAGGTGAATATTTCGATAAATGTTTCAAATAACGATCCTCGGCATGCGGAAATTCGGCATTTTTTAAGGTACTGTGTGAACAAATCGAAACATTTTCCTCGCCAACGAAAAAAATGTTTTTAAAAAGCACATAAAAATCAATTTTTTCGAAAAAGTATTATGAATTTTGTCAAATTTTTCAAATAAAACAATAAAATTCGCATATTTTAATGTATGACGTCGAAAAATCGCGGAGCCTCATTATAATAATGTTACTAACTGAAAAAGTGTTTTCCAAGAAAAACCAAACATCTCGGTAAAACTATAATAGGATCTTCCCTATACTCGGAGTTTAAAATACGAAAATTAGAATTATATGTCCACACTGTATATTGAGTGGCACACCATTTCAATCGGCTCGGGAAATAATTATTACATATTATTATATATGTTTTTAGTCACTACAAATTAAAATATATCCTGCATAGACTAACTCAATACTATTTATGTAGATAATATATAGTCGTATAAAATATTCATCGGCGCAACTAAACCACCACCTTTGGGGTCGCTAAAATTATGAGCACATCAAAGACCCATGGTGCGCTATGGCCCCGCACACTCCTTTACAATAAAAAAAAACTGCACGTTTCATTTACAATTTTCGGCGTAGAAATTTATCATAACTATTTTATCATTGTTTTTTTATGTACACATTTATTGTTTGTAGGAAATCTTAATTTTTGTTTTGCTCATTAATTATGAAATACACGGATAAAATATTTAGTCGAAAAACATAATTGGGTTTTTGGGGGATGCTTATTTTAAATTTAGATGTGCCAAAGATCCCCAATCCCCAATCCCCCTATTTGCGCCTATGAATTTATAAAACCAGGAATGGGATTTCAATACATATTGCATTGTTTTTCAAAGTTTACCGTGCAATAATCGTCTCGTTTCTATACTTAAATAAGACATTTTTTCTCATATTATTTGACAATTTCTATTCGTTTTTCTTTTTCTTTTAAGTTCATTTATAGGTACGTTATTTCGAATTTTCAAGATCTATAAAAGTTTTTCTTTTTTTGAGGTTAAACGGGACAATAAATTCCCAGTCCTAACTTTTTCAGGTGGACTGTGTATGCGTGTAAAGACAGTAATTGCGCTTATATGGGAAAACCTAGATTGCATTTAATACAATTAAACAACGTTGAAACACTTATTTATACAACAACACCAATTGATAGATTTGGCAAAATCGTAGTAAAACTTAAATTTGTCTTCCCATTTTTCCCACACTGCGAACTGGCAGAATAAAATATACCATAATTATTCTGTAATGATTCTGTCTTTTTTATTCATCTTTCGCGACAAATACAGAAATTAAATTTTTCCACCCGTTCGCCAAACGAGTATTTTAACGTTATTCAATTGTATCGGGCCAAATGGAGATTTTTCTATAACATAGACGCGAATACGACCCCGCCCACTATCGCTATGAATATGATAATATGATAACCGTATAAATACTGCAACCGCCAATATAATCGTACAATTAAAATCCTAAGCGATTGTTATTCGTACGCCCGACACACACGCCCGCGGTGTACGCGAGTGACACGTCGTTTCTTTCGCTTTTTTTTTTTTTCGAGATCAATGCGGGTTTGCATTTTGTAGCCTCGACTAACCGTATACAATGTATATACGTTCACATATTATTGTAATATACATAATAGTATCGTACAATCGATAATATTATCTATTCACGCGATCGACGGGAGAACCGTCCGTGTACTGCACGCGCGCGCGCGGATCGACAAACTATGCTGATATAAAAAAAAAAATAGCGCGCGCCGCGGTAAATCTAATGTGTACGCGTTTCGTTATGATACTATTTCTATAAACGTATTATCGGCAGAAACGGGACCGACGAGTATAGCTGCAACACGAAAATAACTATTTTAGATTCATAGCGGAATCGAACTATTTCGTTTTACAATGATTATTTTACTTTTTTTTCCTGTGAACAACTTTTCTGCCAACAATTTCACTCCGATTTTCATGCGTGGCACTTTTTCCAAATGGAAATGTCTGCGGGGCGGTACTTTGAAGGGGTCAATTTTCGATTTTCCCGGGGGTTTCTGTGATAAATGGGAAAAACCAGGAAAAAACGCAGGAAAACCCGGGGAAATTTACGAAATTTATCATTTTAAATTCATAAATGTTCCGGCCTTTCAAACCGCGTACAACCGAACTCCGCTCAGCGTCGCTTTTCGAATTAACAGTAGCGTACAGACGTACGTTAAAGTTCTACCTTTCTGACCTCTCACCAACAACCGGGGCCCACTCATCGTGTGCGAACTACGTCTGTTTTTTTTTCTTCTAACCGTACAGCGAGGCACACACGGTACGGATTACAATATACGCGAGCGCAATAGCATTACAGACGCAAAAAATCTACATTACAATACGACGACGACGACGACGATTTTATAATAATCGACATTTTAATTCAAACAAAACGGCTGAATACAATACCGCGTTTACTTGTGCAAAGTACAATATAACAAGTACGGTGCGTATAATATTATTATTATTATTAGCTATACGTGGACCAGTGGGGCCCAAACTGTACTTCGAGCGTGGCAGTAATTCGGCTGTCCAAAAACATAACACAGTATCAACGCTCACTTATCAATGTTCACGTTTTGATCAGAATTATAGATCGATATTAAATTGCGCAGATTTTTCGACATCACACTTTTGGCCGAAACATTTCAGTTCCCTTCGGAATTAATCTTCGAAATTTCAATTAACGAGCTGTGGTAAACAAACTATTACTGAAATGGCTCTGCTGTAAAATTTGTGAATTGTGACTTACTGTGTTATGTTTTTGGACAGCCGCAGTCGCTATTGGTACATATCATATTACTTCGGGCGGGCGGGCGTCCCCGGTAATTGGAATCCGGGACAGTCGGATAAAACGGGTATAACGAATATTCGAGGTAGTAGGTTGTAGGGGTTGGAAAGCTTATACTTTAACGGAGAAAAGTTTTTTGGACGGGCGGTGGTTTTGAATTTCGAATTCTGTTGAACTACAAACATACAGTTTGGACGCCACTGAAATAAACGCGTTCGAAAACTATTCAACGTAACGTTATAGTTTAACGATTGCGTTATATTTTTAAATGCAGCGTGTTATTTATCACGATAGCCGGATGACACGCGCGACATTATACACCTTTGCATGTAGAATATTTTACACTATAGACTTTTTTTATCCGTACGTTTTTGAGGACGGTTTTCCGAACGACGACAACAAACTAGTTAAAAAGTTAATGTTTATGAAACTTTTCGACTCGATTATAGTTTGAGTTTAAACTCGACTTAGTATATAATTAATTTTCATAAACATCTGGTTCAGTTAACGACGAGTGATTTTTTTCGATAAGACTTTAATTGGCTATAGGTCTCGGCACTGCGATTTACGTACTGCACGATTTACCGTAACAGTTTGGTTTTAAATAAAATAAAAATAAATATAATACATATTACTTTATTATTATATATTGATTTTTGTAGCAAAAAACAAAACAAATAAACTTTTTTCGCATTTAAACATTTAACGTACTGGTGCAATTGATTTTTCGTTAACTTATAACTGAAGCCTTTTATTGTCTATTGAACTTAGTTCAATTAATAATTTTTATTGACTTTTCCACCTTTGATATTTTTTACTGTATACCTAAAAAATTACTGCACAACTAAAACAATTACTGAAACGCAGCATATAAAATGGTACATATATATGTTTTGAATCCATCGCAATAACTATTATATTAACATATTATCCGAGTAGTTTTCAATTTTTCATAATAATCAAGAAAACTCGGGAAAATATAGATACGAAAAACGTACAAATTT